AGTTAAGTTGTCATACTGATGAAATTTTAAAAATTGTCACATCAACACTAACCTTATAATTAGGTAGTCATTCAAGTAGTTTACCATTTATTATTTGACTATGACCACTATATTTTTAACTTTGGTAATATGACTAGATAACAAAATCAATATAATTATACATTTAATCCTCATAACTTATATATTCTCCTAATTTATTTTTAATTTTAATTTAATTCAATAAATTTAATTCTTGAACGAGGGTTTATACCAAGAGAAATCAAACTTGGATATCATTGGTGGCCTTCGGACCATCTACCTTTGAGTCACTTTCCATGTTTATTAATGAGTTAATACATGTATTATATAACATGTTCAAGTTAAAGATAGAAAAAAAAGATTACATAAATTGGACTCATACACATGACCTTTTCGAAGACCGAACAAGCCTTAACTAATAAGCTAAATCTAATATTTGGGATTCAATTACAACAATTTATGTATATTATAAATGAGTGAGGACTTAAACCTAGTCAGTTGAAAATATAATAATACTTAAATCACTAAAATAATCCTAATAGATTATTTATAATTGTTTTAAGATTTTTTTATTTTTAAATTTACCTTATTTTTTCGTATTTATTTTTTTAATAATTATGTATATGAAATTATATTTAAAATTAAATTAAAATTTTATTTAAGATACCTAAACTCAAACACAATTTAAAAGGAAAAGATAAATTTATAATTTCAATCTTAAATTATTTTTCGCTTATGATTGGATTTAAAATTTATTAAATTAATTAGAAAATTAATAAAAAAAATCCTCTAATCAAGTGATGTCATGTGTCACGATTTGATTAAAAATTAAAAGTAGGACCAAATCGAGTGAAGGTGTAAGTTAAAATGACTAAATGTGTAATTATATCAGTTTTATTAACTGTCACGTCAGCACTTTCATTAAATGTTAACGAAAGATGGCTTGATTGAAATCACTTAAACAGTTATTCGATCATATTATCAAAATTGGAAATACGATGGTCATATTAACACCAACCTTATAGCTATAGTGGTCATTTGTGTAAATTACCTAAATAATATATATATATATATATATATATATATATATATATTGTTATAGACTTGAATTTCAACAATTACGTTTACGTGGTATATATTATCAGTAAATAAAAAATATTTTAAAATAATATTAATTTATAAACATTTTAAAATAATAAAAAGTATTTTTCCTTAAATAGATGGGGAAGTCTCACGTGCGGCAACTTAATATACGGTTAAAGAAAGACGTTACCGGTTTTATTATTATTTTTTTTTAACAAAATCGGTAAAAAAATTACCGAAAACATTATTATTTATACTAATTTTGTTATTATTGGGCGCTTTACCGGATTTTGTAATATATCCGGTAGAAAAATAATGTATTAGGTAGAGCTTTACCGAATATATTATCAAACTCGTTAAAACGCCTAATAATAAAACCGGTAGAAATAATAATATTTTAGGTAATTTTTTACGAATTTTGTTAAAAACTAATAATAAAATCGATAACGTTTTTCTTTAACCATATATTAAGGTTTGTTTTACGGTATAACTTCCCTAAATAGACGTATAAATATGACAACGACTATCAATTATCATACAATAAATATATAATTTTTTACAGAAAATGATTGGAGAGAAAACTCTAAAACATTAGGCTGCTAAACGCAGCGTTTTTCAATATCCTTTGTACCAAAAAAAAAAAAACAATGTTTAAGCAAATAGAGAAGAACAAGCTGTATTAAAAAAATGTAGTTGATAAGCACCATTCACGTCATCACAAATAAAAAACCAAAAATCTAATTAGATATTGGTTTAGTACATTCGAGTTAATGTGACTCGAATTTAATTACGTTTGTCGGATATATGTATGTATTGAATATAAATACTGTTAGAGTTTGACTCGAATTTAAAGTGACACAAATTAATTAATATATAAATGTTGAGAAAGTAAGAAATTCAGTGTGATTGAAAGTAAAAAACTTTATTAAAGTAAATTTTTACTTTATTTAACTTTCTTTTGTAATTAAGTATATATCCCTATAAATAGATATTAAGAACAAGTTCTTTTCTTTCACCAAAATCTCATTGTAGTAAAATTCTTTTCATCTCTCTGTGGTTTTTCTCTTTTGGGGTTTCCACGTAAATTCTGATGTTATTTGTTTTTTTCTTTTTTCGATTATGTTTATTTGTTTGTCGATAATTATCATTCTGATATTATAACAAACTGATATCAGAGCTTCGTGTTTAAGATTATGGAAACAATGAAGTATGATATTCCGTTGTTGGATCGAAACACATGTTCTCGCTATGACAGATGAAAATTCGGGATGTTCTTGCATACTTAGATCTCGACGATACAATAGAAGGATTTGATGAGAAGCCAATAACACAATGTACAAATGAGGAAAAACGTAAGGATTGTAAAGCTCTTTCTTAGGTTCGTTTACACTTATCATATCAATTTTACATGATGTGTTGAAAGAAAAAAAATAATTGCATCTTTGTGGACGAAATTGAAGCAACTTTGCATGTAGAAATCATTAACCAACAAGTTGCACCTAAAGCACGCCTTTATTCACTTAAATTGACTGAATGTTCGTCTCTTGAAGAGCACCTGACCGCATTCAAGGAAACTTGAGACTTTAGAAGTGAAGTATGATTAAGAATACTTAGGACTGATCCTCCTATGTTTGCTCCCTCTTCCTACTCACCTTTTAGAGACACAATATTGTACAGTCGCGAAACTCTCATTCTTGAAGAGGTGTACAATGGCTTACACTCATTTGACAAGATGAAATATCTTGTATTTGGTTCCGAGCCCCAGGTAGATGGTCTCGTGATGCATGATTCGACTAGCTCAGACAATGGGAGAAAAGGCGAGTGTTCTTCTGATAATATTGGAAGGGGTAGATCAAAAAATTCCAACCAAGATAAAATTTGTCACTATTGTAAAAAGAAATATTATGTTAAATCGGAGTGTTACAAGTTGCAAAATAAAATAAAAAAAGAAGTTGAAAAGCATAACTCTATAAAATATGGTGAGGTCGGTATAGTAGAGGAGTTCGATGATGAAAAACTCATAGTTGTAGTTGACGACAACTTTATAACAAGTGATGAGTGGATACTTTACTCTGGTAGTAGTTTTCATATGAGTCTTAATTGTGACTGGTTTGCGACGTATGAAATTGTTTCTACAGGTGATGTATTTTGGGAAATAATGTCCCTTGTAAAGTCGTAGATATTGACACAATCAAGATTAAGATGTTCGATGGGATTGTTCAAACATTTGGTAATGTGAGACATGTTCCAAATTTGAGTAGAAATCTAATTTCGTTACGTACTCTAGATTCAAAAGGGTACAAATTCTCTAGTGAAGGTGAAGCTATAAAAATTTGCAAGGACTCTTTTGTTGTGTTGAAAGGGCTGAGAAAGACTACAAAGTTTTATGTTCTACAGGGTTCAACAGTTTTAGATAATACAGTTGGTGTTTCATTCACCGTGTCAAATAACGTTGTTGAACAAAATAATCGTGGTCAGAATGGTTATTTGAAGCAGAAAAGAGTACAATTTCGTGAACATAATGAATTTGAAGATAGAACTATCATTGATGATTGGGATCGTGTTGTGCAAGATATTGCTCGTGGTGAAATATTTGTGAGAAAAGTTGGCACTTATAGACAGAGGTGTAAATGAATAATTTTTTGATAAATGAAAAAGCTTGGATTTGGTCGGTGTCCATTACTGAAGATTACCCCTTTGAGGGGTGTTGTCGAAAAGGCGAATAACTTGTTCGTTGAAGTGAATAATTGTTTTTTTGTTGAGTTTGGGTGTCAAATCGAATTTGAGTGTTTTGCCTCAAAACCTTTGCACTTTCAGAATTCGTGTCAAGGTGGAGATTTGTTAGAGTTTGTCTCGAATTCAAAGTGGCACAAATTAATTAATGTATAAATATTGAGAAAGCAGAAACACAGTTTTATTAAAAGTAGAAAACTTTATTAAAGTAGATTTCTACTTTATTTAGTTTTCCTTTGTAATTAAGTATTTATTTCTATAAATAGATATTAAGGGTCATGGTTAAAAAATAAAGTTCTTTTCTTTCACAAAAATCCTCTTGTATTTTCTTCATTCATATTAGTAAAATTCTTCTCATCTGCCAGTGGTTTTTTCCTTTTGGGTTTCCACGTAAATCATGATGTTCTTTATTTTTTTTCTTTTCGATCGTATTTATTTGTTTGTCGATAATCATCGTTCCGATATTATAACAAGTACAAATAGACTTTCGTAAAATATTTGATGTATTTAGAGGATCCTTTGTGGCGAACATGTTTGCTCCATAAAAAATTAAAAATTCAAATAACGTTACTTTCAACGTACTTCTTGGTTAGAAGTGTAAATGAACAAATTGTTTGATAAATTGTTTGTGACAATTCGTATAACGTTTGTTTATGTTCGTTTATTAAGTTGAATAAATGAACAAAAAAATTATGTTCATTTAATAAATCAATGAATATAGACAGAGGTGTGTTCGATTAGTTTAAGTTCACAAACAAGCTTGTTTATTGGCTCATTTAGAAGTTCGTTTGTCGACTCGTTTATAAGTCTGTTTACTTGGTTCCCCTTTTCCTTTTATTTATTTTTCACATTTTAAATATTGATGAAAGTATGTACTAAATTAATATAATGTGTACTTTGGAGCTCAAATTATGAAGCCTAAAAAACTTCAAGACTAGTGGTATAATTTAACCATTTTTCGTTGACTTCCAAATAGAAGAGTCAATGGTGTGTGTTGATCATCGAAGAACACTAAACAAATCGAACATGAATACTTTTAAAAGTAAACAAACAAAAATGAACATTATATTAAAAATTTAGACGAACAAAAATAAAAAAAAGAGCATTTTCAAAAATAAACAAACGAACATAAATATAATTTTATTCGTTTAAACTCGATTTACCACTATTCCTAGTGTCCATGAATGCTCAAAGTTAATAATGATTTCACAGAGCCCGTAAATCAAACAATAACGCAAGAAACTTATTTATCGTATCATACACACTGCAATTTACAACTAACGAATACTCATTTCTCTCTGCAAACATGGTCACAGGAAACCTTCAAAACTCCAAAATTGGACGTTCCTCGCATGTCTGAGTGCTCGAGATTCTGAAAAAAATAACCCGATAAGTGTTGAAAACTAAGCAGATGCATGAAATCTCTACACTCAATTAGCTTCTGCAGTGGGAATTTTAAGTGAAGCCTCTATGTCCTCGCTCTCAGAATTTGTAAATTTCAAGAAAGCTTCAATGTCATGGTCTGAGCTGCCGTGCCTTATAAGATTGAATCACCTGTTTTGCGGTTTCGGCTTTCGGTCGCTAATGGCAATGGCGATGTCGTTGGGGAATAGGTCTCGTAGGACAAAGGCGTGCACTATAGTCGTTACGAGCAGGGCCGTAACAGTCAATGTAGCAACGACAGATAGAATGACAGAAAGAGTCTGAGTTAATACACTTGTGACTGCACTCGAATACCTCATCGACGCAATCGCTGCACTGGTCATCGGGAACGTGTACGCCCACCAAGCCAATGAGAACCTGTAAATAGAACAGAAATCAGAATCGAAATTCGAACTGAACTATACAAGCCAAGGATTGTACTGCACTTACTTGAATCCTCTAAAAAAGTTAACCCGAACCGCCTGCAAAACATGGTACACAAAGTGGTTTAGCTTATACCAAGAATGCAGCCTATAAGTGAAGTTAAACCAACAAATTGGCCAACTTACCAATGAGAAATAGAGAAACAGGGCGATGAAGTAAGTGATCCGTGATCCGTAATCGAACGATCCTTGGATATTGGCCCATGCCATCGAAGCAACGCTCGGTGCTGCAACGAACAGAAAGAACACGGGATGGAGATCTTTGGGGAGTGTTTCATTCGTTGGAAGTCTTTGGTTTAGTGTTACAAAAAGGACTGTATAATGAGCCAACCCGACTGCAAAGAAGAATATAGGCCCTTCTTTAAGCCCCATTGATGCACCCAATAGTGCCCCGACAAAGTTCCCGACAACCGAGAGATGGTTTGTAGGATTAGCTACCTTGGAAAGCCTACGTTGATCTCCCAACATCCATTGTCCGTAGATTTTAAGCTCTAGAAAGAGGAACGGCGTCATAAGAACATACCATAGAGCCACTGGCAGGGTTGTGGCAACTGAAGGTGGCACTCCAAGTGCCAAGAACAGGAGAACTATCCAAGGAGCAAAGAAGAAGTTGACTCGTATCGGATGGTAATACTCGCGACGAACGGCTTCTAAGTAGAGAACGACTTTGGTAAGGTAGACGGAAGACACGGCGGCTACGAGAGCGATCGATATCCACCATAGGATGAGATTTACAGTCAGGCTGATGTGAAGAAATTTTGTAGAGGTAGCAGTGGCCAGGGTTTTCCACATAACAGCTTGGCTGCTAACTCCTAGACATATACCAAATGAAGAGATCGGATACCTAAGAAGGAAAGGCCAAGTTTTGTCATCTGGAAGCACAATTTCCTCAGAAGCCTGTCAAATTAAATAGTCTCAGATTCATCAAACAATACAAGTATATAATATAACACATGATGATCAAAATAAGAACGTACTCTTAAGGTCTCCAACTCCGGTCCTTCGAGTGCATTGAAGTATCGGTCCACAGGAAACGCTTCACGCCCCAAATTTTGCGTGGACTCTTCTTCCGATTCGCTTTCCGACTCCTGCCTCCCACGTAGATTCGATAGCTGCCTTTCGAGTCTACCGGACCATGTTTTGAAAGAATTGAACCTCTTGTCCTTGAGCTTCTTAATGTTGGGAGCTGCTTCCCCAAAGACTGACCCTTTGGGCATTGGCTGAGACAGAAATTTGTCGCCTTTCGGCTTCGGTTTGCTTGGAGCCTCGACCGAAGACGAATCGTTGAAACCTTTTCCATTGTCTTCAACATCCAAAACATTCTTGGTGCCTGCAGAGGCAGCTCCTGTAGGAGAAGACGGCATGCTGATTGAAATCGAAAACTTCCTCTGATGACCATTAGATGGAACAGATGTTTCACTTTCCGGCTGACCAAACAAAGATTACATTTGCCAAACATTTAGGACACATGAAACATAGATCATCCACTAGAAGGTGCAACCGTGCAAGTGTAACTCACCATGATGGTATCAAAAACGACCACTTCGTTCGATGTTATAAGTTTGAGGAGATCAGGAACCGGCTCAGCCGAGGCCGATTCCTGCAACTCTATTGAAACATGATTCTCTCTGTTATCCATCTCCGATTGCCTGAGCCTGAAATCGGCCATATAATGCATTTACAACAGTTACGTAAACATTAAATAAGCTTAACAGCAAGTTATATGAAGAAAGAGTTGCATGAAATAAGGCTGAAACGGAAGATAAATCGACAGATTCTAACCTCAAATTTTCTGGGAAAATATCAGAAACGCCTGGGGAGATCTACACAAATTGTGAACAACAGTGGAAGAGAAATAAATGGTTTAAATAGGAAGCTCCAAAGACATTTCTATGAAGCAGGTAAGTTTTTTTTATTAAAATTAATCTATTCACAGCCAGTACACACCTTCCGGACACATCTACTCAAACTCGGATCGATTTAGGGGAGAAAATAAAAGTGGTCCGAGCAAATAAATAAAGAAAGCACAACCAACACACGTTTTCTAGATATAGGGTGAAGGAACATGTATAGTTTCACACTAAAGGGAAGATGAATAGCAGCCATTAGCACCATAAATTCATTCCATTTTTGTCATTATTTTTCTTTATTTTTTTTTCTTTGATGATATCTTGATAGGTAAACTATACATTTAGTACACAAATGATTATCTTTGTTCAGTTTTGATACTCCAACTTTATTTTTTAAAAGATTATGCCTAACATTTAGATTAGGTTTTCATTTAGTACTCCGACGTAACATTTTTTTAATTTGTTTTCGATGATGATATGGCATTACCTTATAGTGACATGTTAATATCAGTACGTCACCATTAAATTTTTAACATGTACCAAAATGAAACCTAAGCTAAATATTAGGCATGATTTTGGAAAAAAATGAGTACCAAAATGAAGCAAAAGTAATAGTTTAGGTATTAAATGTATAGTTTACCCTATTTTGATAGAAAAAGACAAAACCCAAGAGATATTGAATTATATTCCAGCTAGTACTTAGAATATGTTGAATTGATAGTTAGTTCAGCTAAGGATCAAGAGTTTGATTGCTTGGTGTCATCATCATCATTAACTGTATTTCCGAGATTTCGTAATAATAAAAAATTAGGTTTGACTAAAATAATTATATTTTCAAAACACACAATAAAACAGTACATGTGTGGGAATAAAATGTAGGGTAAATTACTTTTTTAGTACTTAAACTATTAGTTTTGGTATGTTTTAATATCTAAACTTTTATTTTTTTTTCAAAATTATACCTAAAGTTTAGTTTTTGTTTCATTTTAGTACCTGTTCAAAATTTAACATCAATTTTTGAAAAAAAGTTGAAAGTTTAGGTACTAAAACGGACCAAATGCGTTAAGTTTTTAACATCTGGTGTTAAAATAAAACAAAAACTAAATGTTAAGTATAATTTTAAAAAAATAAAAGTTTAAATATTAAAACGAATAAAAATTAATATTTTAAATACTAAATACATAATTTACTCTAAAATGCACAACCAAAAAACACGTAAGCTGCCAATAAAGGGATCCGAGAAGCTAGTAGACACGTATTAATCTAAAATAACAAAGATAATAATTGCAATAATAATAATTGTTTATATTATTTTCTCATACCCAATTATTTAGTCCAATAGATTATTTTTGTTTTTATTTTAGGGTCTACGACAAATGTTACAGTGGATAAGAAACTTGTCATACGAGTTCCTGTGATATAATTTTTTAATGGATCGTGGGAAGTGGTTCCATGGGCCAGAATATATTTAATATATTTTAGGGACTTGTCATTCCCGCGTGATGAGTCCCATAAAAAATACTTTTTTTAGAATTTTAAGAAACATCGAAAAAATATATTATTTTAATGAACATCGAACTCGCCACGCTGGTGTGATGAGTTCAAACAGGTCAAAAATTTGAAGTTTTCAACCGTTGGGGTGACCGTTGGCGAACGAGCATTTTTTAAACCCAACAGAACTCGTCATGCCAGTGTGACGAGTTCCAACGGCTATTTTCAATTTGAAAAAAAAAACTAGTCGTTGGATAGAATAATATAAATAGAGGTTTGAGTTGGATTGATTTTTCACTTGAAATTAAACATTCTATTGAGAGTAAAAACTTTTTTGCTGAAGATTTTGTGTTGAAATGGCCTTAAGAGAAGAAATGTTACGTCTTGATGATGTTCATATTTCGTCGACCGAGTTGACAAGGTAAATTTAATTTGTTTTATTTAATTTTACTTTTGAAAAAAATATAGTATTAATAATAATTATTTATATAATTTTATTAATTAATTTATTTTTAAATTGTAGCAAGAAGAACAAGGCATTAGTCAATGAGGAATGACGAATGAAGAGCTACATCAGCAGATTGTGATATATCTTCAACAATCCGGATTATATCCAGCGATGTTTCTTCGTGTTTTAAAGTGTTGAAGGCCCGAAACACATGTTTCATTTTCCTTATGGTGCAGTGACGATTACATTGGAAGATGTTGCGTATCAACTTGGCGTTCAGATTAATGGTATGTCATTGGTGTTTTTCAACAATTATGCGCAAAATGCATTTATTTATAATTTATTGTGAAAGGAGACTCCAACTGATGCCATTGATGAGATGCGGATACGGATGACGTGGTTGGAATGATAATTTAGAGTAGATGGACAATCAACGGAGCAAGAGGTGAAATATGCAGTCCGATCATATCTTATGATGTTGATTGGAAGGATATTGCTACCAGATAAATTGGGCAATTTGGTGCACACCCAATATCTTCCAGTATTGGAGGATTTCCTTATATGTCGCCAATATGAAATCCTCCAATATAGTTGGGGTTCTACAATTTTAGTTTTTTTGTATCTTGAACTTTGCAAGGTGACCATAGTGGTTAGAGGGATAAAAGTGGATTTAGCAGATTGTTTAGTTTTGTTCCAATTATGGGCATGGTATCGTCTCCCGTTTTTTACGCTTATTACATCCACTCTTATGGAGTTTTCTCTCGTTGCAAGGTAAATTCCTATATTTAAAGTTTTTATATTTTAAAATATTTATTTAAATATTTTAAAAATGACAATAAATAATGTAGTTGTTATTTTTTTTGTTTAGATGGCGACACCGAATAACCGATACAAAGTTGTCGGGTGCAATCAAAGTAGATATTCAGATAAGGATCGATATCACCGGTAGATATGCGGTAAATATTAATAATTTTTTCATTAACATTGAAATTTGTAATATTAATTCTTTAATTATACTAATATAATACTTTTGGCAGTTTAATTGGTTGTCTTATTGTGCGTCAGAGATTCAACGGTTTCTACCGCCATTTTTCTTTGAAGGAGTGAAGACATGGTGTGCCATACCATTGCTCCATTTTGCAATTGTTGAGATCCATGCCATCGATAGAGTTTTGCGACAATTTGGGTTTCACCAACCGATAGAAATGTTCATATATAACATGGACGATTTCTATAAAATAGATGCGTTCGGGAAGCATACGGAAGATTGGTCGAGGAAGCATGCTATATTCATACAACAATGGCATGATAGGCATTTACATTTGCCTTATCGTTCCGATGTTCAACCTGAAAATTTTGATTTCACAATTTCTCTCTACCTCCAAAATTATGAAGTAAATAGGAAACCATACTTGACAACGCCGGATGATCGGTCCGAATGGGAAGATATAAAGGCAAAATATGCAAAAAAAAAATCATCATCTTCATCAACATCTTCATCTTATGCTTCCGACGATTACTGTCCATCTCAAGAAATTTATGGTGGATATGCTCCATATTAAGCATCGATGAAGAGTCGAGCGGTGTGGGTTGGAAGTTCCTGGGATCAAGTGCCACTTTCACAACAATTTTTGGCAGAAGAAACGGGAGAAAGTGGTCCATGGGATGATCATCTTCAATATAGTCAATCTCGTGGTGATTTCGGTGTGCAATTTGAGTCGATGACGTCAATGATGGCATCAAATACATTTAATACTCCATCGTTTTCACCCGAAGGTGGAAATCAAAGTGGTAGAGTAATGTTTAGTACACCGAAACCACAAGAAGATGAAAATGATGAAGGTGGACGACCACGGCGAAATCGACGAGCACCACGTCATTACTATTCGACCAATCCTCAACATCAACAAGAATTGCGCAAATATAAGTAATATGTTTGTTTATTTGAGTAATATTTTTGTACTCAACATTTAATTGTATAAAAAATTTATATCAATAATATATGTGTTCACCCTTAAAATGTTTATAAAATTTGTCATTGATTTACTTTTAATTAAAATAACTTCGAAAAATATGTAAACAACTATATAAATAATTATGAAGAATATATATCATTTTAAAACTTAAGTTAACAATTATTAATTTTGTTTTATTTTGGTAGAATGGTGTAGATTCTCTGACTCTAAAATTTTTAAGTTTATCTGAGTTGATGTGAAATGTCAAGAAAAGTAAAGGACGTGAATAATGTAAATTCTCTGACTCTCTAAAATTTTTAAGTTTATATGAGTTGATGTGAAATGTCAATGAAAAACAAAGGACGTGAATAATGTAGATTCTCTACAAGACATGGATTTAAAATAATGTAGATCATCTTCAATTGTTTACACAACACACTCATTTCAACTCTTACACAACACACTCCTTTTATCTAATGTTGTTGATGCATGTATGTACATTAATATTGACCCATACTTATATGTTGATGTATGTTATAGCTTGCACACTATTCATAACATTTACAGTTGTGACTTTAAGTACCTCCCAAATGAAGCATACTGGCCTACATCAAAAATTTCTAAAGAATAGTTGTCAAATCCTCAATTGCGTAAGAAGTTAAGGGGTCGACCTGAATCTATCTGAATTCATACCGATATGGATTATCCTCAAAGAGAGCAAGGTGTACCCCAACTTTGTGGATACTGTAGAGGTGAAGGTCATAACAGAAAGCATTGTCTTCATCTTCGAAAATATCGAAATAGACGCTAAAATAACCATTAAAAAATATTATGTTGTCTTTTCATTTTTACTCTTCTAACTATGGTTTTTTACTATATTTTTAGTTTGTACTCTAACTATGTTTTTTTT